GGAATCTGAAAGTTCATTACCATGTTCACAAGAGCCCTCCACTGGTCTCTATCCTGAGCCAGATCAATTCAATCCATACCATTACATCCTATCTCTCTAAGATCCATTTTAATATTGTCCACCCACCTATGCCTTGGTCTTCCCAGTGATCTCTCTCCTTCTGGCTTTCCCACCAATATCCTATATGCATTCCTCTTCTCCCCAATTCGTGCTACATGCCCTGACCACCTCATGCTCCTTGACTTGATCATTCTAATTATACTTGGAGAAGAGTACAAGTTATGAAGCTCCTCATTATGCAGTTTTCTCCAACCTCCTGTCACTTCACCTCTCTTCGGTCCAAATATTCTCCTCAACACCCTGTTCTCAAACAGCTATTTCACTGTACAATTCCAAAATTTTTGAAAAGGAAATTATATTAAGTACTGTTTCATGTACTGATATTTATTGTTCAAGTGCCAAAGTTGCTACAATTTACCTAGTATAATACATGTTCGAAAATTCCACCATCAGCATCATTGCACTTTGCAACTCGTGGAAGTATAGGATGTGTTGCTCGTCTGAGTGCATCTTGATGTACATTCAAACTACTGTACAGTGAAATAGCTCTATCGCAGAAACCGTTTGGAATGGGACACATGTGCTTATATACGCTTTGCTTAGAATGACTAACACTATGAGCTCCCAGAATATTGACCTTTCCTCCTAAGACACCATGTGCATATCTTTTTACATTATTATCTCATCTTGCGGTCCTTTTCTCCTTCATATCACCAAGATAATGCATGTATTTCTTGAGATATTTAAGAAAGCTCCACTGACTGAGACATGGAAAGATGATTATGAGCAGCTAGTCAGATATGGATCAGAAAGGAAGATACAAAGACAGTCCATCATAAAGCTTTTCACTTAAGAGCACTAATAGTAGTACTATATCCATAGTAGAATGGTTATGCAATGCTTTCCATTACTATTTAGTTCTTGCAACCAAATATTCTTCTTAACACTCTCTTTTAAAAATTTATATGTTCTGCTCTTTTGTCCCAGTAAGGCAAAATTAAAAACTGTGCATTAAAGAAATGAGTTGAGAGAAGAACTGTTAAATCAAGGATGACAAATTAACTGGACATGCAGAATGAGCTGAAAATACAGAATAACTGCAGGGGCAGGAGCTGTACCTTGGTTCTGTTTCTGGTTGGGATAATTCAGTGTATACAAAATTACTGGTACAACATTTTCAAATGGTCTAGACCAGCCCTGTCCAACGCGGTGCCCGTGGTATATTTTTTCTGGCGCCCTACGTAACCACATATAATTGAGCCGATATTTAATATTAATTCAAATTGTAAGACAAGAGACATTTCTGAACGTCTGAGTACTGTTAAATATTTTCAAAAAATGTTGTTATTATTATTATTGTTTATTATTATTATTATTATTATTAGTAGTAGTAGTAGTAGTAGTAGTAGTAGTAGTAGTAGCAGCAGCAGCACTAGTAGTAGTAGTGTGGTGGCGCATGCACCTCCATAGGTATCAGTGAATTATGCCCGAGTACATAAGAACGTTGGACAGCACTGGTCTAGACTATTACACATGTATTTGGCAAATGAAATATACTGTCATGTGGTAGGTTTGGACTGGTGACTGGATTTACTGGACTTTTGAACACACAGCTTGTGACTACACTTTACACACTGGCACATAACAGAACAGGAAGAGACACCCAGCACATAAAATACATGAGTGCCTACATGGGATTACACATTAAATATTAGAATCAAAAACGGAAGCACAGCAGTTTCCACCAACAATGTTTTAAACACTGATGATTACCAATGTTGGTTGAAACATGTAGTGCTATGTACAGAAGCTTTTAAATAAGGTTTAAAAGATGCATTATGTGTATGTAAGAAACTTTTAAATTAGTTTTACAAGGCTGCATTGCATATAAGAGGGTGAACCAGTGACATCTGTTAAAAAACTTAGCCTGGAGGGTTTTGGCTCTAGCTAAGGTCAGAGTTCTTATAGAGGCTCAGCAAGAGCACGATGGATCAAGCAAACATCTAGTGCTTTGGGCAATTGTATGTTGTCTCCCCCTTCTTGCCCCAATTCAATACTCAGTTCTCATTACTTCACATCCTTTGTAATTCAACATTCATTCACCATCCTACCAACTGATGCCATTTAGCCTGAGCCAATGAGAACGTTGATAAATAAACCCATAAATACTCGTATATAGCATGAGAAAGAGGCAAACACAAGTTTGTGGCGATATTAAAGAGATGCATTTCAAATACGAGCGTGTCAATCTATTCTGCAAGTACGTAAGATGTATTTTAAATGAAGGAGATAGGACAGGCAACAGCAGGCAAGTAGTTCAGGAACACATTCAATAGCATACACTTAATAGGTATTATTACTCGACTTTCACAAAGTAAGTTTTATTTAATATTGTATAATACAGTCTATATCTGTTCAATTTATTTTATCTTCAGAATTTCTTTCACTGCTCTTTTTCTTGTTTGTTAAAGAAGTGTATGTAATGGATTTCTGAAACTGTTATCCGAGACATTATTCCTCTGAAGCTAGTACTCAGCAACATATACCCAAAAAAGCTCCAATGTCTTTTAGGCACTTTAGGTTTTAAAATATATTACAGTGAAGGAACTAAGACTAACAGACCAGCAACATCCAAGACCTGTCAAAGGACTTTTAAAGATATAAATAAAACTTCATTAAGACCCTATAGCAAAGTGACTTTTACACTGTTCACAAAATTAATGCACCATAAATTTTAGTAAAGAGGTGCATAAATTACATGAATAAACTCTGCACAGCAGATCACAGTGGCTGTGCGATCCAAGGCATGGAATGTCTTCGCCTGATTAAATGCTGGGATCATGGGTTCGAATCCCACTCAAGGAACAGATGTTTGTCTGCATTTATTCTGTGTTTATGTTGTTCTGTGTAGGCAGCAGCCTTGTGTTGGGCTGATCCCCCATCCAAGGAGACCTATCAACTGTCTAAGAATAAGAAACTGAAGTAAAATGACGCATTTCACCGATGTCCTAAGTGGATGGGTGGGTGGGATGGATGGATGGATGGACAGAAACTCAGTACATGAGATATGAGGTTCTCATTTCTGCAAATATTAAGACTACTGTGTTCTGAGATCTTGCACTATGCAGATAGTAACCTACATTTCAAATGAGCCTGCTCATTCCACATTCCAGCTAAGGAGACCGCAGGTTCTTACAAAATGTTAGTACACATATACCAGACTATATGCTGTCACATTCTATAAAACAAAACTAACAGCAAGTTTTCAAATTTCTTTTTAACTCACCTAAACATTTACTGCATTAAAAGATTTATGAAAAATAACTCACAGCACAATTCTCTGGTCCAGTTACCCGCTTGACTCGGGCCACATCTGACCTCAGAACCCAGGATGATCTTTTCACTGGGTAAGATGCGGCCTGAGAGGGTCAGAAGATATTCACTCAGTTCCATGTTCCAATTTTTCAGCTCTTCAGCAATCTAACAGGAAAAAAAAGGCATGTAACTATAATCACCAGTATTAAAAATGGAGGAACAACTGTAGGATGGTCATGAAAATTTTTCAGATCAAAGTGTCAAGGTCAGGAATATGCATACTTTCTATTACGCGGCACACAAAATAATTATCATTAACATTTCCCTAATGCTCATCATTCTGTCGCCATTTCTCTTCTCACTGAAATTTTTCAAATAATTAGCTTCAAACAAAAGCTCAGGACTTTACATTTATTGGCACTAGACTTGCTTCCCATGAGTTCACACAGAAGTCATGTTATTAATACTGATAGTGAGAATACAGAAAAGTTGAACTGACCAATCTGTGGAATGATGTTCATGCTAAATTCCATAAAAAATAAACATGAGTTCTATGTCGATATTCCTGTGGGCATCATGATACCCTGAGCATATCTTTGTTAATAAATTTTCATCTAAAGATTCAAAATTATTCATACAGGAAAAATTTTATAGAACCCAGAAAAAGTGGAGATATAAAAATAGAATATCACTGTCCACCCATGTTGGCAGCTCCTCCCCTCTTCTACCTACTTGCTACTTGGGGATGGTAGCTGCATTCATCCCTGGTTCCAATGTTGCATTCGCAACGCTCCCCAGATGGAATGGGGTGTCTAAGCTTAAGCCTTCAGCAGGAAAAGTCAGAATTTCAAAACAACACATATTTAATTATAATTAAACTCAGAACTATAACATAAAAAATATAATAGTGACTGACCATGACTAAGCTTTCATAACAGCTGCAAAACCATGACCTTGACCACCTTAGTTGGTCCAAACAGAAAATCAAATAATATAATCACTTGGAACAATCTGCCTACCCCACACCTAGAAAATCACCAAAACCCTTGTAACATTGCGAGACAACCCAGATCATGATACAGTAACATTAAATGGGGCAGCAGCAAGTCCAAACAAATAGTAATATCAAACCAATCAGAAATCCTAATTGCAACATCCCCAACGAAAAACTTACATTACTGTTGCAACATGGAGGCCCCCTTGCTCTCAACAGCTGGAGTGAAGAGTCCAAACACAATTTGGAGAGACCAGATCAAAATGGAATTTTGCAACCTACTTCACCCAACTGATGGTAAGCAAAAACTGCTATCATATCTCTACCCACATTGATGGAGGTATTTCTTTCAAAACATGGGAGGAAGGGGAAATCACATAGTAAGTGGGAGGATAGAACAAAGGTAAATGAGTCATGGCACATATGCCTCAGGGGGGGGGGGGGAAGGATGGGATGATTTTGGGTTGGAAGGTGCTATTCCTGAGTCAAATGAGTAGAAAATATGGCTCACATGTGTCTACTGATCTTTAACTTCTGAACTAGCAAATTTTTCAGGAAACACTATATAGACATCATGCCAAATCTCTCTGGTACAATCATTTCTAACTTCCCACCATCAGCAATGTCAACTTGGTGCCCAAGCTAAGTTCAGAAATGGAAGTGAAGTGATACTATTACTAATTAGTATTACTCTGAATGAGTTCAGTGAGTTACTGCAACCCTTCAAGAGGGCTTTCCTTCTAATAACGATGATACTGATGATGACTGTCATCAACAGCATCATCATCTAACAGTCTGGACCTACCTATGAGATAATTTGTAGCCTACCTTCCTTATTTTTAATCGAATAAAAGTAGGCTTATGAAATCACCTTGCTGTCTGTGTGTGTGTACTTCTCGCCAATAACTTCTGTAAACCTGAACCAATATTCATGAATTTTAGTATGTGTATCATGTCACCTGATGCCATCTCAACAGCATACTTCACAGTTCCCACCCATCAGTAACACCAACACTGCAGCCTTTCAAGCTGTTTTATTTTACTGACTTCATTACATATATATATATACTGCAGTTGTTTCTACTTGTACTAAATAATTAAACCATAATGAAGGGAAAGCAGGTGATCATTTTCCCAAAACTTAATTTTCCTTACCCATCAATCCTTTACAGAGGCTGCAGAGAAAATCAAATCAAATTATAAGCAATAAACAACTTGTGCCTTCTATTTTCACCAATATATTAACAAGTACTTAAATGTATACACAACAGCAGCACAAAAACTGCCCTTCTATTTAATATTTCAATAATCATTGAATCATAATATGTATTAAGTATGAAGAGTTTTCCTTTTCTCTATAACTTTTATTTTAAACAGTTTTCAGTCACTTACACAGAATATGCACATAAGAATCAAATGAGGTTCTCATGAAAATTGTCCATTGTTGTTGTCCAGTTTTTGTCACAAACTGGAATGTACTAATACATTTAGCAAAACTCTCTAATATCATATTTCATGACAATCTGTTCAGCAGTTCTGAAAGTGTTGCATGGGACAGAAAGAAGGCTATGGTGAATGTAACATGCACATGTGAAAATGCCCCCCCCCCCAAAAAAAAATGGTATAATGGATACTGAAATTGAGGCAATACTCTCCCCCCCCCAAATACTGTGTCACCACAAGATCCAAGACAATCCTTGCCTGGCAGTACTACAGATCTGTTTCTATACCACAGTGTGTGAGAATATATAAAGCTTAAGATGTATATTTTTTAGTTAGAAGTTATCTCTTAAACTGGAATCATAAACAAATGTACCATGAGAGAAATTTATCTGTGGAACTCCTAGGATTCCAAAATTTCAATAACTAGGACAATAAAACGATTTTACTGTTAAGATGAGGATAATCATTTTATTGTCACGTCATAAGATATTCATGTTTCAATGCAAAACATCATTCCAAACATTACAATAGCTCACCATACTGTTGGTCTTGAGACATCTGTTGAAATGCTGAAGCCGATCCATACGTTGTGAAGGGACAAGACGTGTACAATCAGCCAAGTCCCTCATTAGTAAGAAGTTTTTCCGCATCTGTTCTGACAGACCAGTCATGCAACAGAGCTCAGGCACAAGATAGATGAGACAGTCTTGTCCAGACAAGAGATTACGCTTCTTTCGCAGTGATACCAACATCGGCTGGGACAGGTCTCTTATTTTCACCTTATATTTCTGCATAAGACAGAGCACATTATAAAAAAGGCGCTTAAAGTTTCATTTCTTGATTCAACCTCCAATGAAGGAGGATAAATCCAAATATTCCTATATGCCTTTCCATACAAAATACGGAAAAGTAAACTCTGACACTCTGAAATCAAACTACCTCAAACATTTTCAATATGAAATTAAATATCTCATTAAGATATTCAACTTCTGTCTAAAATACTTTCCATTTGTATTTTTAAAAGCTAAAGACAGAAGTTCCTTTGTAATACTAAAGTAAATTTCACATATGACTGAGGTTTTTATACTTTGATGTTAAATAAGTGAATAAATTGTGTATCATTTTGTTGGGACAGTGTAAATAAAAGTTTTAAATTAATAACTTGTCTTTGAAAGTTTAACAGTATAATGCATATATCCATGTACTGAAGTAATTATTTGCAGAGGAATTTCAGTCTACTAAATTTCTGTTTGGTGACAAAATTTATTATCTGGTAGAAATTCACCTCTCATGCAAAATTCATACATAATAAAATATATAAATTTAGACAAAAAGTAAGCATATAATCTAAGATAGTAACCTTTTTTATACTCGCAGCTTCATCTGTAACAAACCTGTATGGCTTTAAACCGAGCACGTGCAAGCTGCAGCTGGAATGAAATGTGCTAAAAGTGGACAAGCAGAAATGTTTGTAACCATGTGACAGTACTAAAAATGTCTGCAACTGTCTACTCTACTATATTATTTACTAGACTTTCAGGTATGAATAGATGATATAATCACGTTTAGGAGCTTACAGGCTTTGGTTCAATCAGTAATTTTACTGTCAACACTCTTGCAGAACATTTGCACAGCATTAGAAAAAAAATGACTGAAGGGTTAATTTTTTACTCTGACTCAGACAAACAGTTTACCTCAAATTATTCTGATTAGGAACCTACACACAACTTATCAGAATATCATGATAATAGTATTTCAACAAGATAAGCAAGGTATGGTTACAGAAGTGAAGATAGGATGTAATACACCCCTTCACTGTACCATAATGTGGTTGGAATTTTGCTGCTACACCTCATACCACCGACAACTCCTCATCATTTGACTGCTTTTGACTAATTTTTAATTATGAACTATTCAACACCGTTTTTTTGTTGAGCTGTGCACCGTTACAATCCACAGCATTGTTTATTATCACAATTCAGTCAATTACAAGACTGATTCTTGAAATTAGCATAACTTCATCATTATCCCAATGAAACATTTAAAATGCCTTCTTCCACGGTACATGCTTAGTAATGCAAAAGAAACTAGCTCAAGGTTATTTTTCACCACTGTACATAATTTTAAAAGAATTTTTAAAAACTCCGCATAACAGTCTTAAGCATGAAATAGCATCATGTATTGTAAACAATGTGTATTAAAATTCCTGCATGCAATTCGAAGATTTGTATTTCAAACTCTATTCCTCCTGAAATAGGACTGCTCATACATATGCTGACCGACAGTCTAGTCGCAACCACGCTAAGGATATGTATAATGCAGAGCTCCTATCAAGTACAAACTCACACTTATGCAGGTAAAGTCTTCCCCATCAACTTCTACTGGATAAACTTTCAATGAGCCATAACAAAATTAATTCATTACATAATTCAATTATTATTTTAAGCCTTTGTAAACAAATTGTTGTCTGTTTTAGCTTAAAGGTAAATGGTTTCTCTCACTAGACATATCTGAGGTCTTTTCAACAAGCCATCTACCATATAGCTTTTTACACAGTGCTTGAATCTACATCCCTACATCCTTACTAAATAAAGTTAACTAGCTCCCAGCACTAGAACCAGTTACATCTTGGACACATCACAGCAGGCAATAACCAGCTTCATAGATCCAAGAACAATAACTGAGAATGCCACTACTTGGTACTTCGCACCTATGATGGACCTCCACACCAAATAACAACTATGACATAACCTGCACTCCACCACATATCCAGGCTTCATTACTTCCATAAAACATGATACAAGCATAGTATAATACACCTTATATACCCCCACAGAGCCTATTATACATACACTACTTCAGAAAACTTCCAGAAGGGATCAGATTCACAGTAATATCACATATCAATAAACACCACACTAGTCTTGCCACTTAACTGTACATACATGCCCTTCCTATGCCACACATTTTATTTCACCAACCCTGATTTAGCCTTTTTCAAAAATTTAAGAAAACCACTATATTTTACATTTTATATTTCACCACTTAATACAGGAATTTATTAAAACATTTTTCACTGCAAAAATAGATCCATTTAAAGTATTTCATTTATCTATTTACAGATCACTTGATGATGGTTCTTGTGACCAAAATATGTGGTGGCTGCATGAGACAATAAAATTGATCAAACCACTGGCATTTTAATTGATTTTATTAAAATTTAATTTACTTTGTTGTTGTGGTGATGATTCCAGAGCCTCAGACTTAACTGGGTTTTAAACCTAAAAGGTTTGACACATACATTCTGATCCCACAGACCCATGATTTCCAAACTCTCTTAGTCTGAGGCCCTTTGATGTGAATAAATGCATTTGTGATCTCCAACCTATAGAAATTACTTAAAACATGATTTACCAATTATCTCCTTTTGATATAATGTAGCACTTTATACATCAAGGCCACCAATTTCCAATTAAATGGAAACAACTGTAATTCAAATTTCACAATTTCCTTCAAGAATTTTGGACTTTTAGATTATGTTCTCAATTCTGAAAATCTTTATGGACTCTGATATGATATGTCCTATTGCAAAAGATGGAGGAATAAACTATGGAGTCAAACTTACTGCAAAAGGCAGATAAACCAATTAGTTCAAAAGTTATTAAAGGAGACACACACACAAACCCCATGTTTTATTCCATCTGCTTTGTCTTATTTTTGATAATAAGTCTAAGAGTAAATCATTTCTATTTTATCATTTGCACATATCAGGGATGATGTTAAGGAAATAATGCTATTAGAAAAAGAAGTGGAAAGTATGTAAAATTGTAAGCATATTTTCTAATTGCATTCTTTGTGATTTTGTCCCATCATATACTGCCTTTTCCCATATGGCTTACTTTTCTATTCTGAAGATGGAATAAGCAGGTGCTTCTGAAACACTGGTCCTAAATATCAAACTATATAACAGCACATTCCAATTGCAGTCATATATTCTGCTTTTGACAATGCAAATGATCAGTATAAATATTTCTCTGCACAGATAAAAAGGCTTTATTGATATATTTATTCAAATATATACTCAATTCTAAGAAATATTTCAAATAAAACTGTAGCTCTTCTCAGATATAAATTTTATGTTCCATGTAATTCTCTGTTTGTTTTTAATTTTTCTGTTTTTTAAGTCATTTCAAGATTCAAGTTAGTAATTATAAATTACTGCATTTCAATCAAGTATTACTGCAAGTTAATATAAAATTAAACTCTTCCACCAGAACAAACCCTATGGTATTCTCCTGCAATAACATTTAAAGAGCAAGACACAGATTAACAAAAGTACAGACACACAATAAAATAAAACTGATCATATTAGAGCAAAGCAACCTTAAAATTTGGTACTGATGCTTCAGAATTGAAGGAAAGGGACATGAGAAGAAGCAGAAATTAAATGTTTAGAGTATACTGAGCAGCTGAAGGTCTCTACATTGTTAACATAATGCACAAACCTGATTGAAGTAATCTGCATATGATGTCCTGACCCCATTCCAATTAAATATGGTTGCAGGAGTCACAGAAAAGTCAACATCACCCACTTGGTATGTTTTGTTGTTATAGACAGTGAGAACAATGCTTCCCAAGATCTCCTGTTTGAACTGTCGCTGTAACAGTAACATACCACCAAACTTCATTAACCTTAAGTGTCACCTGTGTATGAATGGCAGATTTTGGAAAGAAATCAATATCTAAATCTTGGTTCACTTGACACTTCAAAGTATGAAATTCATCTTCACCTCATAACAAAACATACTGCATCATGACCAACTGCTTAACACTTTGCGGACCAGCAATTTAAATATTTAAATCACCCTGCAGACCGGCATTTTTATACCTACTACCCTAACTTGTGCACTGTTCACTTTAAAAATTAATATAAAATCTCCTAATTAATTTTATGAACTAAAATTTTTTGAGAACACTTGCCAATGCTTCTAGAAGTGCTTGAGGGTGATATTTCTCGAAACATTCCCCTCTGTGAAGTGGCATTACACAGAACTTGCAAATGTAGGCAGTCCTACTCCTTTTCTTGTGAATTGCGCAAACACGGCATTGCCTAGAGGGCTGCTTCCCCTTGAAATGTTCACTCTTCACAATTTTCGCGACAGTATGTTCCCGCATATCACCCGAGGGTCGCCCAGGGGGGGTCAAAATGAGGCCTGCGTGGGGTGGGAGTAGACGGCCCCAGTCGTACTAAGACTGCGTCTGCCGCCGGTTCTGCTGCCACCATGTGGTCTGTAGCCCAGGCTTTTGCCACATTCAGCAGAAATGCCTTGTATTTCAATTTTGAATGAGGGTTTAGANTAATTTCTTTCCTTCACCATAATAAATTTCTAAATTTCCAATATAGCCTGAAGTGCTTTCAGTAACTACATGGACAAGTAGGCCATACTTTGTAGGTTTCCCAGGATTATATGTTCGCATATGAAGCCTTCCCCTCCAAGGAATCACAGATTCGTCCAAAGACAGTTGTTGGTTTGGCTTATAAACTGTCTGAAATTTCTGAACGAAAAAGTTCAATAAGGGCTGAATTTTGAAAAGCCTGCTTGTTGATTGTGGTTGCAGTTCATTATCATTGAAATGTAAACACCACCAAATTTGCTCAACTCTCTTACAGCTCATTAGTTTGCCGAAAATTGCAATTTCTAAAATTGGATCTGTTGACCAATACTCTTTCAGATTATCCCTCCTTGTATGCCACATTAGAAAGATAATTGCAAAAAATGTTCTCATTTCTGCTGAAGTGACATCCACCCACTTCAACGCCTTATAATTTCTGTCATAATGTTCACGGTGTTGGAGATAGTATCTGTTAGTTTCCTGACATAGCATGCCAAAGAAACTATCTCCAAAAAACAGTTCCAATACTTCAGACACTTGCGTTGGGTCCAATGGAATTTGCTTCACCCCTGGATGTCCAGTAAACTGTCCCAAAGCAGGCGTTTTGTCTACTTTTTCCCCATGTGGCTGTTGCCGCAATGTTGCTACGCGCACATTCGTCAGAGCTACGGTCACTTTCACTTTCGCTGTCTGTGGTCACAATTTTTTGTTCGCCCCTGCCACACTCACTATCAGATTGTGAGTCGCTATAACTAGCAGACTCACAAGGGACGTCAGATAGCTCATCAGAGAAGTCAGATATTTCTTGTTCTCCTAGAAATCGCTTGGGTGTCAACCGCTTTGGTCTTTGATCCATTATGAACTACTGACTGACAGCTTGCTACATAAAGCTTGAAGAAATAAAGGCATTTATTTTTCTTTGCAGGGGCATAGAGTTACAGCGAGGTCTAGTAACTGATTGGTTAGCAGACATTCCAGAGCCTTATAACACAGCTGCAAGCAGCTACGTGCTAGCTAGGTGGAGCCAGAGAGATGTATAGTGTGTTGCAACTTATCGTGTTCTAAAAACCTGTTAACACGCGAACGGTCCGCCATGTTTAAAAGCGAAAAACCTTTTAAAGGGTGCACAGTCCACAAAGTGTTAATATTGTAGAGATTGTTCTTTATTCCGATAACCACACAGAACAAACAAGAACAGTTTGAAGGCAAAATGTACTTTTATAATCTTAAATAACGTTATGTGAGATCCTTAAAGCATCACTACCTTCTAGGCATGTAACAAAAGGTAAAGTTGTCTAATTAAGCATTACAGCATGAAGATGTATGGAAAGTAGATGTACAGATCCATATTTTCTTGACTTCGGCCCTAGTCAGAGGTAAGTGACCAGCTTCATGCTCTGGCCGATTTACCCCCCTGGTACCCATTGTAGAGGAGGTTGGGTGGACCCCAGAGCCGGTCTGGATGACATGGAGAAGTAAAAATTCTTGACCCTACTGGGACTCAAACTCAGACCTCTCAGTTGTTCAGCCTGCAGCCAGTCGCTATACCGACTGCACTATCCTGGCTCCTTCTAGGGATGTACGAATACAAATTTATAAGATGTTTGCTAGGTCAATGCTTTCTTACAGTAATGGATTGCTGACAATGAACTGATGGCAGAACACTGGTAACAGCAGAAATGCATTTCATGAAGAGGGTTTTGTGCACATTGGACTATAAAAGAAATGAAGAAATTATGAGAGAACTACAGATTTCACAGAATTTATATAATACAGAAAAAATCTGAAAGAACATGCTGACAGAAGAAGCTTGATGGAATCGCAAAAAGATATTGTCACTTATATGAGTGTGATTACAGAGAGGGCTTCGCTTTGTGATTGCATTTATTGAACACTTGATACACACAATTCATAACTACAAGTAACTATAACAGCCTCACTGGTTTACACACTCTGTAACTGAAGCACACATAAAGTCTTCTATGTCTTCGCTAGTCATTTCTTTGTATTGGATCCTAAGAAGGTCCTCTGCTTATGTCCTTACTGACGCACTGCTCTGTAAACTCTGAACGGTCCTGGTTAAATATCTCACCATGGACTGCAGAAAACACTGTTCCTTTTTTGCTGTTCAATTGTTTCTATGGGAGCATGTTTCTAAAGCCATTACTCAGTAATGGGTCTTGTATATTTGCTCATATCATGGTTGCTGTCCAGCAATGGGTCTATATGCTACAGTATCAACCCATAGGAAAAGAAGTCTATAACAACCTCTGAAACAATGGATGGATTCTGCTTTGTAATTTACATAACAGGTCTCAACAGACTCAATACTGGAGACGATGATGATACTGATGCTGATGATGATGATCAGTGGTGGTTGTGATCATGAAAGCAGATTATGCATAGTGACTACTAGGATTTAAAGAGTTAATGACGTTTTCATTAGCTCAGATTACATAGTCACTCTTTAACTGGAAAGGGTGTGGTTAAGACATGATAACAGGATCTGCTTGATGGTAGTGAGAAACACTATTAAAACTTCAGTCAAGACAGCCAATCTGCCGACTGAGAGGACCTACTGCATATGCAGTGGGAGTACTATTTGCTTGACCACCACATTCAGTAACATTTACACTTTTTAATATTGAATAAAATTTATAAAACTGTAATGAAAATAAACTTCTCAATCATGCTACATGAAAATAAATATGCTACAAAGCAATATGCAGATTCAAATATAATTTTAATTATTATTATTATTATTATTATTATTATTATTATTATTATTATTATTATTATTATTAATCTAATATTAATTTCATATTAGAAACACACACAACTTATCTAAAATAAATATATTTTGATGAACTTAAAATTCTGTCATGAATCACAAGAAACATGCACTGTTGACATGCATTTTAATGTATCTGTATTTATTTAACAATGCTGTCAGTAACCCATGATTAGATGGTAGCGACTAATGAATGGAAGAGAATTTGGAAGGAAGTAGATAAGGCCTGAAAGCTACTATCCCACGAACAAAGAAATGCCACAAAATCTCAGTTCAAGACAGAAGCATTATCACTTGAAATAAACTGCCTGGCAAAATTTTAATCTATTAATAAAATCATATGTAAGTGGTATTATGATCAAGGTGGAAGCCTGAATTAGATTTAGTTTTATATGCTACCAAAATCAAAACTAAGAAATAACTCCTGTTAGAATTATTTCTTGAAATGTCAACTAATTAAACACACACAAACAATCACAATACAGTATGCACATGGGTGTACCAATTTAGGTAACTTTCCCTGACATCTGTTGGTCTAATGAAGATGATTCCGATGTGGGAGCATCCCCACAGCATCTGCCAGACAACCGTCACCCCTTTCAGAAAGTGCCAAACAGGCAGCTGTGACCAAAGAGACACGGAATTTATACCCTCTCCAACTACTACGACTTATATACCAGCTACATATATTTATAAACTTCACCGTTGCCCCGCCTTTCCATGCACAGCCCAATGGATGCGCGCGGTGACAACGGCAACTTTAGCTCTGCCTCCCAGCCGGCAGTATTTAAGACCGGGAGCCAACGGTGCAATCAGTTCAACTCGAAACGGCAACGAAGACAGAGGCATCAACTCCACTTCTGCGACTGGGTAACTGACATAGTTGCCGCAAACCTTCAGTGAACGGATCTTCTACAACCCAGCAACTGGCCGAGCCAGTCGATCCTACCGGCACGCGCAGCACTGCATCATCGCCCAGACAGGCCAGCCAACGCTTGAATATTATACGTATATTCTGTGTTCTGTATACTGACTTTAAACGATACAATATATACAATCGTACAGTTTCGTGTGGTTTGTCTATTGGAGTATTGACAACGATCCCACACCACAATTAAACATGCAGTCATGACAATGAGTTATTTAAAACAACAGTGTTGTGTTTGATGTAATTTCATTCCTAGTACACAACAGGAATTCTTCAGCACAGACTTCCTTACAGTGGATTATTTTATGACACACTCAGCAGTGAGACCATATAGTAATGAATGGTAGAATGATGACAGACAGTTGGAAATGACTTGGAACAAAGGTGTCATGCCCTAATCAAGGTACTATCCTGTGTCTGCCTGGACAGGCTGAGGAAAGCCACATAGAACCTCAGCAAGGACAACCTGTGTCCATGAAAAGATTCAAACTGAGTACCTTCTGAATATGAGTTTAGACTGTTAGCACTATGCCAGCCCATCTGGTAATACAAACAGAATTTGATGTTCACTCACTCAATGAAATTGTGGAACCCTGATATGCAGAATTCTGAAAATAACAGAATCTACTGTGTTGAACAAACTGTGGTGCCTCTCACAATCTCTGTACACTGACATTGGTATACACAACAGAACCAAACTCTATCCATGTCTTGCCTTCGTATCAGTCCATGCATCAAACACTATGATGTTATGCAGCTATCAAAATGTTCATAAATTTTTTTTATTTTTATCACCAAACATGTTAATGCAGATGGAGGGAGTGGTTTAATATTAAAATGGTTCTTGAAGAAAGGGGGTCTGGGAATGTAGACGGGTTTCACCTGGCTCATGATAGGGTCCAGTGGCAAACTCTTGTGAACAAGATGGTGAATGTTTGGTCTCCTTAAAATGTGTGTAATTTCTTGACTAGCTGAGTTACTATTAATGTCTCAAAAATACTGTAATTAATGGAATGGTTTAGATAATAAACCAGCAGTAGGAATATGTGAATTGTAATATTTAGAAGAACTTCTTAACCCAGTCTGGAAGCTTGATTTAATAAATAATTATATGTGACTGTTAATAATGTTTTACAGCCTCTTTGGTAAATTAATGGCAAGGAACACACAATAGAAGGTATTAAAAATAGATACATTATTTACTTTTCAAGAAGGCTCAAAATTCTATAATTGTTGTCATCCAACAAAGCCAAACCTCTGCCCCAGGTAAGCATTTGTATGTTACCTGGTCCTGGGGGTTAGGCTAGTCCAGGACTCATGCAGACCTGTACTGTGCCGTATTTGCATTAAACTGTCTAATATGCAGACACAAGAAGATGAAGAATATGAAAATTAAACAAAATATGATTTGTGATTTGAAGTTATTATAGTGGTGAATGAAGGATGTGGTGTTCTGGGATGTTACATCATGTAGTGCAGTAAATTCTTAGTGATAATTTCATAGGAATGTACTGCTTCCACATTCAGAAAGAAATTTCTCTTCAACAATGATAATGAAGCCAGGACATTCCACTGAAATTGACTACCAAACTGTATGGCATCATATCTCAGAAGACTGTATTTTTTACATAAGACTTCTCATAGCAAATAAATAAACACAGAAAAGTGACTATTTCAGGAAGCAAGAACTGTGACCACATGTGTTCAGCGTCATAAGTAAGTGATGAAATTTTCATTTAAATATAATGCATAGTTCAGAGTTCTTTGTGTTTTATTGAAGCACAGTAAAATAAATCTCAAGTGTATGAAATAACAAGATTGAAAGCTGGGGCTCTTGAAGTTTCAGAATCATGATAGAAAATGTTTAAAAAAATGTTGATAAGACTGTCTAATATGAACAAAAATGGATTTTTTTAAACTAAATTTTAATAATGATGGTGTATAATGAATTTCATTTAAGTCCCATGACAAAGCTTATATGCTTACTTGAAAGTTGCCAGAATCAGACCTGCAGCACCTCTCAAGCAGGCTGTATGCAGTGTCGTGCCGCATCACTTTGTGTGTTACCTCAGCACAAAGTAGCAGCTCATTCTCATGCTGCCGGATTGATGTCACATACCCTGGCCAGACTTCCAATTGGTGCCCATCTAGTTTAATGCATGCTGAAGGATCATAGTAGTAGCGACCAACCTGTAATGACACATGCCATAACAGAACGACACAGACACGAACAATCCTCTAAATGAGCTCCATAATGTACTATAGTATACAAAATTTCCAGTGGTGTTCTTTGTAGTTTATTAGCCTTACTTTATTTTGATTTCTTTATTTGTTCCAGATATCCCTATATGGCGATACAGCCTTCAGATACAGAACAAGTCAAGTTTTATCATATATAAGTCACCAATACTTCAATACTTAACTACATACACAGATTGAGTACATACCGTATAAAACTATAAAAATGAGATACAATATGACAAAAATTTCTATTACCAGAATAAGCACTCTATCCAAAGTTATAAAAATGAAATGAAAACCAGATCTTTGTCACTTCGTGAGACAATGATACACTCACACATATTGAAAATTTAAAATGACATAATTACCTCAACAGAGTAAAAAAGGTGTTTCAGTAGGAAGGATTTTGAGTACCTTTTTAAATAAAATAAAATTGTCCCTTATTTTCATCTGCTCTGGAACATTACTGTACAAACTGATACCCACATTTATCACACTATTCTTAAAGGGGACTGTATTACAATGTTGTACAAGCAAATTTAATTTTTTAATAACATACATCACTTATAGTATGTATAGAAAAGACAGTGTTAATAGATTATAGTCTTTAAGTATTTGTCTACATGACGTATGATAGCTGACACCACCAATTATCTGAAGGGCCTTCTTTTGTAATTTAAAAATGTTATTACTTTCGTTACCCCGCCCCACCTCTCATATTAGTGAAAATTTGAATAATAAATGTTTCTTATCATATAAGGGCTCATTGTTTCTTTTAACATTTTCATCATATATACTACTTCACATATCTCTGTTCTAAATGATTGGGCATGAGCGTCGCCTAGAAATCTTAGTTCTGACTGACACACTTGTGGCCAGTGTATAAAGAGCATCTCAGCAAAACGCAAAATGTGTTCGATAAATTAAAATGAACATAGTTCATACTTCAACAGCATAATAATGCACAATATCCGATAATAAAATACTCTGTGAAACAGTGTATGAGCTGTATGGAAGCATCAATTTACTGCTTTATGTAAAGTAGGTTTTATAATTAGTCAGAATGACTAAAAGTCATAAAGTCTGACTAATATTATGAGGAGAACTCTCATGCTGAACGTGACAAAACTGTGATTAAAGGTTTACAAAATAAAGGTAAAATTCATTTATGACCTGATAGGGCTCTGAAGAAAAAATAGGGTATGTAGGTAGAAACTGTTTCCCTTGACAGACAATAAAAAATGGGTTTTCTCTGCTTTGAAAATTAGGTCCAGTGGTTTTATAAACTTATATATAAGATATAAAAAATCTACTCTGTTTAATCCATACAGTGAATCACAGAAAAATACCATGGGTATTACTAGTAGAAACATTCTCCTTGGCGAACTATCTTTGGAAAAAGAATTGTTCCTTTTCTAGATCAGCAAAGAGACACAGGGCAGCAGGCAGCAAACAGTAGCTCTGCTCACTGCTTGCTTCAAGCTGTTTTCTTGCTTGGCTTATTCTTCAACCTTGAAGATGAAGGTGACATGATCCTCCAAAACACTAGTTGAATTTCAACAGAATACATGGCTTATATCCCAGAAGATAGAACTCCACATAACCACAATTGTGAGAACCTCAGGTCCTATACCGCATTATATCCCAGAAGACAGAACTCTTCATAACCACCGCTGTGAGAACCTCAGATCCTACACAGCGCTATATCCCAGAAGACAGAACTCTTCATAACCACCGGTGTGAGAACCTCAGATCTTACACGGAGCTATAGCCCAGAAGACAGAACTCTTCATAACCACCGCTGTGAGAACCTCAGATCCTACACAGCGCTATATCCCAGAAGACAGAACTCTTCATAATCACTGGTCTGAGAACCTCAGTTCCTACACAGCGCTATATCCCAGAAGATAGAACTCCACATAACCACAATTGTGAGAACCTCAGATACTACACAATTTATTTTCCTTTTTATTTATTTTAAGACAATTTTGTTGTTTGTTTGAGTAGTCATGACTAGTGTACTGCAAATCTTATGTATATGAAACTACAAAGATTTGCCATTTTAGTGCAGTCCCCTTTAGTACAACCTGTCCCACAAAAATTCTGTTCTGAACATCTCAAAAGTGGTGTGGTGCGTGCGTATGTGACTCAGCATATATTTATAAAGTGTCTTTGCATGTTTCAGTCAGTTGTGACCATCTTCAGAAAGGCAATAACAAAATGTTACAGAACTACTATCACACAGATTGTAATACGAGGTATTGCCTCAATACACAATGAAAGAAGAAACAGCATGACAACACAGATCCTTAACGAACCACATAAAGGTATGCTGCCCAGACCTCAGAGGACAGCAAATAACACCTCAATCTCCCGTTTGACAGAAGATGCACAAAGACACAAACCTCAGCGGCTCAACATTTTAAATATCAAGTAAAAGTAAAAAGTAAAGTATCCCTGTAACAGGCTGTGGATGTCCATAGGGTTGTGAGATGCTGAGGTTCCCACATTTTCTAGACAATCGGCTCACAGATGGCGGCAAGGTTGCCAGCCCTACCCACTGGCCGCCCTTTACCCCAAAGAATATTCCAAGAATATTCCTGGTACTCAGTTCTGTTAGAGGCTGAGTCGACCCCAGGGCCATAGTGCAGCTGGAAGGTTTAGGTCAACTGAAAAAAAAATCCAATGACCTCATCAGGACTTGAACCTGTGACCTTCTGGCTTGTAGCATAGTGCCTCAACCAACTACGCTACCATGTGCCCTTTTTTAAGAACATTACTAATATATTATTAACTCACACATCTTTTAAGTTTAACAAATTTTTATACAAAAGTTTAAGCATATGTATTTTATTACAATCTATGTAGCATGTTGTTTTGCCTTTCTGAAGATGGTCACAACTGACTGAAACATGTAAAGGCACTATAGAAATATATACTGAGTCACCCTGGATGGTGTTCTCATATTCATTTTATAATAATTAACAAGTGTGATGGACCAGAATGAATAAAGATGAAATACCTGTGACTGACTGGGTCTCAAACCAAACAGGAACATCTGATATCTAATTTAGCCCCCTGATGATTTCTTTAACTACATTCAAAGCAGTTACTGTATGTAACAAATTATAAGATTCTGGACTTTCTCCATAAGAGTGTACACATTTCTTTCATATGATTCTCAGAATTTACTGATTCTACTTACTTCATTAACCAACTGGTCTTTACAACACAGATTTGGTATGTTCCAATGAGACTGGAGCTGACTGTTTAATTATTTTGAATAAATTTACACTTTTTGTAGCTTAAATATCACCCTGCCTACCCTTTCAGCCTCATTTAAGCAACAGCAAGTTCCTGCTGCTGCTGCAGTATGGTTAAAGATCTCTGTTGTCTGTGTTTTTACTTCTGACAATTCTCAGCAGAGTATGCATGAATCTGGTCAAGTCACCTAACTGATATGGCTATTGTAGAGTGTGTATTGGTTATAACATGGCCTTAACTACAGTGAACCACTTTCCCTCGCTCCCACAGTGCAGCTACAATCACTTCCCTGCTACTTCTTTCCATGGGCAACCCAGAGGCCATGTCTAAAACACAGCCAATAATTTTATATTTTCCCTGGAGTATATAAATATTTGAAATGCATTCTGCAGTTAAAGAATGACTACTGGAGAGCCTATATTGATAACATGAAGAAAAATGAGCACAATCTACATACAAGTTTCAAAATGTATCGGAAACATGGTGCAGCTGTTCGCATAGGATGACTAACCGCATCTTTGAAATTATGTTAGCCAACAATGGATTCAACAAGATTAATGACTTCATTTTCTTACTGCTATGAAAAGCGTTTAGCAATGTGAATACTCACTAACTGAAGCTTCAGACTCTCTAGGATGTGCCGCATCAGAATGTTGAAAAACTGCACATAGTGGTAATCACCAAATGCCAGCAAACCCACTGTTTGAACTGTGACACATATTTTGGTGTTGTCAGAGGGTCTAGTTGAGAAGAAGGTCATGGGCTGAAATAAGGGAGCACAGTTGGAAGAGTATGATGATAACTAATAGAGCAATACTGTTTAACATGCTGATACAAATGCACAAATTTTGCAGAACTCTTCTCTGTTTCAGGGACATAAATTAGAAATTCCAAAGCTTAAACTAATCTGTTTTTTTTCATGAACTAACTAAACTGACTAACTCCATGGAGTTCTCCTTGAGAAGCTGCAGCCACTATTCACTCAGGTACTTAAGAATTTCCCTATATTTTATGGAACCCAAAGGTTCATCATCTTTTTCACAAGACCCCCTCCACTGGTCTCTGTCCTTAGCCAGATATATCCAGTTCATACAACCCCATCCTATTTCTCTAAGTTCCACCTTCATATTACCATCCATTTTTTAAACATTGGTATAACAGCAACACAGTAATGAATGAATGAATGAATGAATGAATGAGGGGTAGGCCTTCTCGGACCTTGCACCGCGACCTACAGTGGTCTATTGTGCCCAAGAACACAGTAAACAAGACTTACATCTTTCTGGTATTTGTGAGGGGTGTAAAGCATTGTTCCATCAAACAAATATCCTCCAAGCATTTCTTTGAATTCACGAACTATTCTTTTTTTCTCAGCACTAGAATCTTCTTCTGGTTTGAAGTCCACTCGATACTGATATAATTGCCAGTTTGTCACAGTGGGTAGACGGAAATAATTGGTTTGGAGCTCTACAACACGTCCTGTAGTACCTGCACAAAGATATTCAACAGTTTCTGTGTGTCTGGAAAACTGCAGAGCACGAAAAATAAAATACAAAAGGGAGGAAAAATTATAGGTTTATGTGCATTATAATATACTAATTTAAGCATAAATAAAAATAAATGAATAACAAGAATGCATAGGCTCCCATGAGACTCTCCATAAGGGCTTCTTGACAATGCACAACAGTCTATCTTTCCCTTACACATTTGTATCATCAGATTTAGCACTTACTTAACTTTCCTGCACCATAAAATGACAAATACCTAAAAGCAATGGAAACTGCAAGACATGTCAGAGGCCATTAAAAGTGCAGTATAAAAACTGGACATTATGAATGACACGTAGCAGCAACACCTCAACAACTGGAAGGACTGCTGCAAGAACTGTGTTCAACCATGATCCGTTCATATCGATGCATTTCATTCCTCGACTTCTTTCACTCAGCCAGACTGCTTTCTTCCTGTTTCCCTGCTGATGTTTACCCAACACCCCTTTATATGTTGTGACTTGGGGTGATGTGTTCACCAATCCCTGTGGTTTCCCCTACCCCACCAATTATCTGAGAAACTGTAGCCTGATATAATTATTTATTCTGATGCTTCCACCCATTTGTTACATTTGTGCAGCTGCACATTCACCCTGTGATATGACATCCAAAAACCATAAATTTCAGAATCCTGAAAGCATGGGAATATTGCAGAAGTGTTCACTTACCAACCAATAGAAGCATAATCCCCTCCCCCCAACCATAATAATCAAGGTGGCATTGCATCAACACTTTCTGATCAGTATGCAACAAATATACAGGCAGCCTGTGAGCAACCAGAGGAGTCCTAACTATTTGAGCCCACAGCCTAGCAACGTCTATGAAGAAAGAGCCAGCAAGAAATCAAGCAAGAGTGAAATAACAGATTGTGAAATGATAGTGAACACTGTAAACTGTGTAATTATTTGTAAATAATGGATATCAGTATCCAACAAACACAATTACCAGCCAGATCCTGCAATTTAGTCCCATATCAGATGACAATAAAAAGGAATATTATTAAATATACAGGGGCAGAAAATCGAATGCACACTTATATAGTAGTTATTAGTGAAATTTCTAAAGTGTGTATTTGAGGGCCAAATCAAGTAATCACTGACTGTTATAGCTGATAAAGTTGTGACAGAAGGAAATGTATCTCTGTGGTTTAGCAGTGAACTAGACAATTACTATTACAGTGTTCTGTTTGCAGTAAAGAAAGCTTAGATACCTCCAACAAAGCTTGCTTTTATAGGTAATTTTCGCTGAAAACATTTCCCCTACACAACAGCACTGTCTAGTGCAGACTGTTATTATATCAATTTCAAAACCTTAGTACAAATGTAACCATCCTGTGCAGGCTTACGAGTTATTGATATTAGGTACATTTGATGAAGTTTGTTTTCAAGAATTTCCTGTTGAAATTTCAAAAAGCTCTATGTTAGACGTAAAATATTAGTGAATGTTCTTCATCATGGTTTTCCTTAAAATAACCGATACTCAAATAAGGTAACTGCTTATTTATTATGACAGTCTTGTGAATGTACATCTCCACTGATTTCTGTCCTATTACTTACTTCCATACCACTCTACAGAAATTGTCTGATACACGAAATGGCTACTAACCAATGCAGTGGCAGTGGACACAGACTGCATAAAATCCAGCTATGGTTACTTAGTAACCAGACAAAAGCATGGACTGACATATATTAAAATATATTTTGGTCCCCCAATAATATTGGTAAATTAGATAACTGTCTTGTTTCACATGCATCCAAGTTCCCCCTCTGCCTTCCTATCCCAAATATGAGTTTTCATCATTTTCCACAATTCCTTTATGAAAAATGCTTGAACAATATACATAGATGGACTGAAGTTGTGCAGACTGTGGAAAGTATTATTATGAAATATACAACTTCTCAAATTCCAGAATAGTTTAAATTACCTTTCTTAGAAAGCACATCCTCTGGCTTAGTACTCAGAACTGAACGCTTCACTGCACCTAGAGGTTTAATTTGCACCTTTCCTTGCTCACTGGAACTGTCGTCATCTAGCATACTTTCTTTTAAAGTCTTTGTTCCAGAAGAAACGTTGATGGGATCTGTACATAAATAAACATAAGATTTATGGTTTCTACCACTTACTTACTGATGGAGCTGAGCCCTCCTGGAGGAGCTGCCAATTCTGCAGCTACTCAAGAATTTCCCAGCATTTTATGGAACCCGAAGGTTCATTACCGTGTTCACAAGAGCCCTCCATTGGTCCCTATCCTGAGCCAGATCTATCCAATCCATACCATCCCATCCTATCTCTCTAAGATCCATTCTGGTTTCTATCACACAGTCCTAAAATATGTTACCTTCACTAAGTTTAATATATAAATGGTGGGGGGAGGGAAGATTACACATGATAAATGTTTATGATTGAGCAGGACAATGACTATCTGCCATGTTACCCATTCATCCTTGAGTGGTTTCAAACTCTTTTTGACCATGGTTGACTTCAGCAAATAACAACAGACCCAACTGATCAACCTTCCTTCAATAAATTACACTCAAAGGGAACAGCTCTGATTTGAAGAGACATGAGAAATGTCAACAACCCAAACAGCAAACCATAATAAATTTCTATTCTTTTTTTCACAGTCCAACAAGAAATCATCGTTTGTACTGGAATAGATATTTTTCTTGCAACAAGTAAAGAAATGGTTTGCACAGCAGGGCAGTGAACTCACAGTTATCCAGCATCCAAACAATTAGAATTATCATCCAAGTGGCAAAATTTTCAAACAAAATTAAAGTTTTTCTGTGGTTATTCAAAAACATGTGATGCATTCACCTGCTATGTTCTCCCATCGATCACTAGTAGCAGTACCCATCATTCTCGTGCAGGTTTCATTACAATAGAGGCTAGCTGAATTTTTGATCATGTTACATTATGAGCCTGAAATCCTCCACCAATCCATATGCCACCTATGAAGATTCCCACATAAGAAATATGGCAACATGTTGTTTTGACTTTGTGTTTTGTCTGTGTAAGACTTTTTCTCATGTAACTGGCATATTCATGTAACTGACAATCTCCATTATCTCACATACTCAAGATAATGGGGAGTTAACTGTATTTCTCTGCTCATTTAACAAAGCAGTAATTTTGTTTCAGTCAGCTTAACAATGGGATGACAACAACATATTTGACAACTCTTCCTTTTGTCTTATTTATGGAATATTAGTTTCTTACATTACTTGCCAAATATTATTTGAAGTATCAAGTCAAGGATGAGATGGGTGGGGCTTGTAGCACACATGGGACAGAGATGCATAGAAAAATTGTTGGTAGGAAAATCTGAAGAAAGCACAGATGGGATAACAATAATAAAATGGATCTTAAAGATGGGAAGATGTGGACTGGATTCATCTGGCTCAGGATAGGGGTCAATGACAGGTTCAAAACAAGGTAACAAATCTTACAGTTTCATAAAATTCTAATAATTTCTTGAGTACCAGAGTGACTATTACTTTCTCAAGAATTACTCACCTCCATGGTCTTAGTTAGTTGGTTGATTTCTTACACACTTCTTCCTGACTAATTAATTTAAATCATGCTGAAAATTCAATTATTCACTTGGTTGAAATTTGACTCCACTATTTTAGGTGTGATAATCTCACAGTAGAGACCATGAAGAATACTAACATTGGGATGGATTCTGTTTAATCTGGTAGAAGCCTGCTGCTTACATGCTTGCTTTATTACTCTTCAACACTGAAGATGGATGCAAAATATTTCTGTGAAACATCAGTAAACTTCTACCAGACTACATAGCAACACATCCCAGAACAGGACCCTTCATGGCTCTACTACACATTAATTATTCTAAGAGGTAGAATAACTTGAAAAATTAGATGGTAAACTGAAATCCAAAGATCAGTCTGTGTACAGGAAGCAGCACTTTGTTCACCTCTTGACAAAGCACTATATGTTCCTGTGGACTGTGATAAAATTATTGAACACATTCATTTTTAAAGTTTGTCCATGCAAAAAGAACTTGCCACTTTCAAACAGAATACAATTTGTAGCATTTTCAGCATACATTCTTTGTGTTTTTGCCAAATTTTAATTCCAAAATATAAAACTGTATCACATAATTTCTGAATTTTAACATACTTCCGCAAATAAGATGTAAAAGCTTGTGACGATGGAACATTAGCACAAATATTATATTTCTGGACATTATCCATCATCCTTTTTTAAAATCACTGTCCTGTTTATTTTTCAAAATACAATGTTTTGGAGGCTGGATTCTGTCTCTGAAATTTATGTTCTGAAAAATAAACAGGCTGGTGATATTAGGTAAACATAGGATGATGGATAATGTCCATAAACATAATATTTGTATTAACAAATTGCATTTACTCACTAATGTCCAGTGCAGACAATCCCTCCTCAATCACTGAGTCACTGGCAATTCCGGTGGCTCCAGCACCGCGCCTTACCTGCATAAATTCACCACACATTAATAAAGACAATTTTCTGACAAGATGCAAGACAGAACAACTATGAGGTTAGATGATGGTCTTCTGGGCTGTAACACCACGTTGATCAGTATAAAAGTACCAATGTACTTCATTATATAAGAGTAAAACCTGAAGAAGGAGGTAGAAGGTTCTTCTGGAACACTGGTGGTTACTTACCAGACTAGATGACATCACATCTCACAAGACCAGGAGCATACAATGGACTTTAGAACTAAACTTACATTTAACTGCTGTGCTAGGAATGAACTGATGAAAACCTAGTACCAGATGGTTCAAATATGATCGGGACTGATTTTTTGTAAACAAGCCACACTGTGCAGCAGCTGTGCGACCTTGAGAGAGTGAAGCCACAACCTCCACCCTCCCTCCTGTTAGGGTTAGAATCTATTCAGTCCTGTCTGGAAGTTGCTAGAGTGATGAGTGAACAGAAGGTACTGCGGAGCATGGAACAACGCATTGTGATCAAATTCCTCGTTGGAAAAAACATCCTGCCCGCTGAAATTCACCACAGACTCCAACAACAGTATGGGGAAGAGTGTCTCTCATGGACCCGTGTCTTTGAGTGGTGTAAGTGCTTCAGAGAGGGCAGAGAGCACATGGAGAATGAACCGCATGATCGTCGGCCACGAACATCCGTCACCAAGCCAAACATTGATCGTGCAGATGCACTTATTTGTGAGAATAGGCGCATCACTATCAAGGAACTTGGAGCAATGCTGTCAATCAGTGTTGGTAGCGTAGAACACATCGTGAAATACCACCTGCACTATCGCAAGGTGAATACACGGTGGGTACCACGCACTTTGACAGACGTGAACAAAATAGTGCGCATGCAAGTTGCCAGTCATCTCCTACAGCAGTTTGAAGATGAAGGTGATGCATTTTTGAAGTCTATAGTGACCACCGATGAAACATGGGTGCANGGAAGCCCTCCAGAAATTGAAATGTAACCTTCTGACACATCCGCCATACAGTCCCGATTTGGCACCAAGTGATTTCTACCTGTTCGGAAGGCTCAAATCAGACTTGCAAGGCATGTGGTTTGTGGACAACAACGTCGTCGTCCAGAATGTTCAGGAGTGGATACGCCACCAACCACAAAACTTTTTTGAAAAGGGCATCAGGATGCTTCCAGAACATTGGAAAAAAATGTGTTGACTCCAGAGGGGAGTACGTTGAAGACTGACATGTGCAAGTAAGTGTTTGGCAATTTTGGTTTAAAAAAAAAATCAGTCCCGGTCATATTTGAACCACCTTGTAATTACATACTGTACACATCTGACATTTACATGTGGATGCATAGATTTTAGCATTAAATTATTTGTAACATTATTCAAGGTGAGACTGAAGCAGGCAGACATACAGCAGAGCAGCACTCTATTGTGGCACATCTTGTTGCTCAGGGAGTATCTTATTTAAAAAATCACTAACAGTTGCCTGCAGCAAACAAGGAGAATATTCTTGTCACCATCCAGGGTAGCTGTATGGTTTAAACGTTTGTCAGTGATCCGAATACCTGCCATGTTCAGACATGTCTGTCTGTCTATCTATGACTCTACAGTCTTTTGTTGGACCTTGGCCACTTACTCAGTTTCTTAATCCTATACACAGTTGGTACAACTCCTTGGACAGAGGCTCAGCCAGTCACAAGGCCGCTACCTACACAAAGAACAATACAAACAGAGAATAAACACACACAGACACCCATGCCTTGAGTGGGATTCAAATCCACGATCCCAGCATTCCAGGGAGCGAAGGCAGTCATGCCATAGACTGTGTGGCCACTGTGATCGGCTGTTCAGACACGTATCAAGTATAATTAAAATTCTTGAGGAAATAGGCTAAAAAGCGCTTCAACAGCCTCCTCCAAGTATAGATTCAGTTTTCAGTGATTTCTACAAGTTTCAGTTGCTGAAACAATATAAGATTGGTCAAAAGTTTGAACATGATGATCATAGCTTGAGAGAGTATTGATCCTTCAAATGCATAAATGAAATTCTGAATCAGAGAAATGTCCTGAGTAATTCTTTAAATACCAAGACACTCACATACAAGTGGAATCATTAAAGGAGCAAGTAGAACACACAACGTTAAGATATGTGTTTTAAACACCTATCCAACATCAACTGTTAGCAGGGCTGTAATCAAGCTAGGGTGGGGTCCTGGTGCTTTCTGAAGTGTCACAGCAACGCCTAACAATCAAGAAGGTAGTAAGAAATATTAATACATTATAGTTTATTTAACTTCTGTCATCTCTGTTTAGGATGGAAGTGTCAGCCTCTTCAAGTATGTGCATTTTATGAGCTTGTCTGCCATTTAATTCTGCATTTAAAAGTGTAAGGTTACTGTTAAGTAACAAGAATCGCCTCACATGATGATCTGTGACCATTTCTTTAAACCCGGAGCTGCATGGCAGGCTGCTCTGTGGCTTCTTTTCCACAGGACTGTGCCCCAGATCATCAGTGATGTTGCTTAGTAGTTCAACAGCAGACGAGAAGGACACAAATCGAACATGTATTGGCTCAATTGTTGGATACTACAGAACCTGTCATGAGCTGTTGCCTTCATGACAATAATGGTGGAATTATGTTTGCCGATAACTGGTCACATACAAAATATATGGTACCTGGATGAAAGGTATCCAAAATAAAAAATTTATATCTCGGAAATTAATTGTCATATATATATCCTGTTTATGTCATTGGAAAGGAAAACTCTGAAAGTTTCTTTTTCATACCTGGCTTATGCGCATAAACTGCCACATTTTTGCCACCATGTTAGGAATCACCTGGACAGAGAGATGGCTGGGATATGAATTGGCAGAGGTGGACCAATCGCTTGGCCTCCTAGGTTGCCAGATTTAACCCCAGTGGATATTTTTCTTGTGGGGTTATGTGAAGAACATTGTCTACCAGGTTAAGATCAATAACCTTCAACACCTGAAAGCCTGCATAAGGGACGCTGTGGCTATGGTAACACCAAACATGCTTCAAGACTGGATATTTGTCATGCCACCAAGGGAGCTCAGAGTTTAATTTAGTGAGAAAGTTATATATGCAGAAAAAATTATAGTTTCCTTTTGTAATGGTGTAACCCATTAATGTGTATAATACATTCTTTCTGAGATATAATGATTTTATTTTGGATACCTTTCATTGGGACACCCCGTATAGATCAGGTGCTCTTTACAAAAGGAAAAATCTTGGCAAGAATAGTCCTATCATCACTCACCCCATCCCTTATGGATGAATGCACACCCCATGCTTGCTCACCAGGCCGACAGGCATGAAAGGTGGGAGGCAGAGTTGTTGAACATTTAGATCTCCCTCTGGCTCTCATAAGAGGCACAAGTTCTTGAGCAGAATCCTCCAATCTGAACAAGTCACAAAAGAGTTAGCCAACATGGAAACAGTCATAATGATATTCAGAGCAAACAGCTTTTGATTTCAACATTTCTTATATGCACAGGGTGTCATTTTACATACAAGAGTGGAAAAGATGCGCTTCATTTCACAGTATTCGTATCATAAAATACTTTCTTTGCAATTTTCCCAACGATCAGTTGACACTTACTGACAAATTAGTGGATTTGGTGGTAAAACAATGATGTTGGCCTCAACAGTTAATCAAATCTAACCAAGATAAAAATATGGGCAGACTGAGGGTGTTTGAGAACTGGGTGCTGAGGACAACATTTGGAGAGAAGAAAGATGAAGTGACAGGAGGCTGGAAAAAACTGCATAATGAGGAGCTTCAAAACTTGCACTATCAGCCAAATATAATTAGATTGACCAAGTCAAGATTAAAATGGATCTTAGAGAGAGAGCATGGGGTAGTATGGACTGGATTGATCTGGCTCAGGATAGGGACCAGTGAAGGACGCTTGTGAACACAGTAATGGGCCTTTGGGTTCCATAAAATGCTGGGAAGTTCTTTAGTAGCCACACAATTTGTGGCTTATCAAGAAGGGCTCGGCTCCATTAAGTTCGTTAGTGAGATTTCTCATGGCAATTCTAAGGAGAGCACTCTCTTCTGGGATATTACATCATTCAGTCTGGTAGAAGTTTATTGACATTTCAGAGGATTATACTACCTCCATCTTCAGGGCCAAAAGAATGATCCAAGCACACACAAAAAAAAAGCACTTTGCTTGCTGCTCCCTTGCTTGGTTCACTCTTTAATAATGAACAGCAAACATGCTTGACTTCTACATAATATACTGAAATTTTGTCAAGGGTGAAAAGATGAACATTAAAGTTCATTAAAGCCCTTGTAAAAGGACCCCTAAAATGAACAACACTAAAACAAAATTTTGTCTAAATCTATCATAACCAAGTCTTTGCACTGTTGCTTGTAATACAGTTATTACTACATTCTCTCTGAATGATTTCTCAAAAGGCACTTAAAAGTAAACTTTCATGTAACTTCAATACTGATGATGGATTTTCCTCCAATACAGACATTGAGCAGGTTGTTCTAGCAATAATGCCCTAGACTTGTATTTAGGAGGCACTTGGTTTGAAACTTGGTTGGAACACCAGGAATTCTGAGAGTTTCCATGGTTTTCCTCAGTCCCTCCACAGGAAAACACCTTCATCAGACCATGCCAACTTCCTTCCAAATCCTTTTCAATTCATCATCTTGCCATTTGATGTTGTATAGTCTATATACGGTCAAAGAATCGAACTACAGTTGTAATGGTCATGCTGTCATGGTTATCACACTTAAATGTATCCTGTGAAGATGAGGCTGGTTATAAAGGTTATAAAACCAGCTGGGTGGTTCAAAAAACAAATGTATATAGTATGCTTCATAGCACTCCCAACAGAATAATGCAGCAGCAGATGAGCTTATTCTTCAGCCAAGATATGGTTTCTTTTCTTGACACTGTCATATTACAGTGACATTTCAAATTTTTGCTCTCAAAGTCTACATTTTCACGAACTTATGCACCTTTTATTTGGTACCAGTCAAATGTCCATAAGAACAATGTTAAAATTTCACAAATTTTATGTTCCCTCAAATTCATGTTATTCACAAATTTGCACTTAATATTTTGAGTCCTGACAATGTAAATTAACACATATTTACATTTACAATTTTTGAGGGTTCAAAGAAACACTGGTCACACTGCCCATATTCAAGATTTGTCTTGATAAAATAGGCACATCTTTACATACAAGTGTTCTTCAATATTTTGCTCTACAACTAAAAGCTGAAGAAAAAGACAAACAGATGACTGCGATATAATAGCATGGTGCAGTGTGTATTTGCATTCCCATCGTTGTGTTCAAATATGTATTTGTACGTGGTGCAATCCAAAGGTTCCCGAAATATATTAATAAAAACTATTACATCTTACCTAGATCTTATTCTGTACCATCACCTTCAAAGTAGTCCCCTTGGGAGCAAATACACCGATCTCAGCGTTTCTGACACTTTTCAAATGCATCCTGGAAGTCTTTCTTTGTTAGGGTGTTTAGTACCGTCTGCGTTTACTGCTTGAATTTCCTCAACTGTATCAAATCTTCGCCCCTTCAACTTGATTTTCATCTTGGTGAAGAGAAAGAAGTCACATGGACCCAAGTCTGGCGATTACAGTGGGTGGGGAACAACTGCCATCTTGTTTTTAGCCAAAAATTCCTGCACACTGTAAGCCGTATGCGGTCATGCGTTGTCATGGTGGAGTACCCAGTCATTCGTACGCCACTTCTCTGGACGTTTTCTCCTCATGTTCTCCCTCAAACGCCTTAGAACATCACGATAGAACTCTTTATTGACTGTCTGACCAGGAGGGACGAACTCCTTATGAACAATGCCGTCAATATAAAAAAAACAGAACATGGACTTAATGTTGCTCTTGACTTGTTGAGCTTTTTTTGGCCGAGGTGAAGAAGGGCTCTTCCATTGTGACGATTGCTGCTTGCTTTCAGGGTCGTAGCCATAAACCCAACTTTCATCATCAGTGACAACCTTCAAAAGAAAGTCTGGATCCTCTTGAAGCTGTTGCTGAAGTTCCCTGCAGACTTCCAAGCGATGCTGCTTCTGTTCATTTTGCAGCACTCGTGGCACAAACTTCACCGCAATCCTCCTCATGTTCAGTTCCTCTGTCAAAATTCGTTGACATGTACCATAACTTAGTCCCAAGGGGTTACAGAGGTCTTGGATGGTCAGTCTACAATCTTGCAGAATCAGATCCCTTACTTTCGCGACATTTTCTGATGTTTTTCCCGCTGATGGCCGTCCCAAACGATCGTCATCATCAGTCAATGTTCGGCCATTTTTAAAACGCTTATACCAGTTGTAAGTTTGTGTCTGGCCTGGACTGTTTTCACCAAAAGCTTGCTTCAACATTTGGTGTGTTTCTGCAGCAGTTTTCCCAAATTTGAAACAAAACTTTATACAGACACGTGGCTCTCTCAGGTCAGCTATCCCAAACCGCAAACTCACGGAAATACAACAATGGAAATATGTTCACCAACAATAAACCCAACCACTCAACTCGATGCCGCTTGCCACACTTATTCAAGAAGGATGTGTGAGGAGACAGTTAGTGGTATTTCGAGGTACTCATAACCATTCGCGCGCAAAATTCAAATTTTGGAAACTTTTGGATTGCCCCACGTATATTTTATATGCCTTGCAAAAGTTAGAGTATAAAACAATCCACACATTCGCTTATATACATTAGAATCACAGCTAATAAAGAAATATGAGGGTACTGCCAAAAGTTACTTTCTTACCTTCCTTCTGCGTCTATAATTGCACAGCAAAATTATATTACATCAAATAACATCTCTATAAAAATGGGCTGCAGGTGCTACTTTATTAACCTGGGCTACTCTGTGATTTCCATTAGCATATAATGCTGTACTGCGATGTGGAAAGCAAATGGAAAAACTACCACATTATCACTTTTCCTGGATAGTCTCTTTCCAAAAACAAAAGATCGCATTAAGTGGAGGAACTGTTTTGGAAGAGATTGTGGACCTGTCGTCTGACAGATTACTGATGAATGAATGAATAAGAAGATCTACACACATTGTTGGGAGTGTTTTGTTTGTTCATGATGCATGTACCTGCTTTTCATAATCTACATAAATGATCATACTCCAACAGAAAATACCTTATGAGAAAACACAATATTTTCCGATGACTCAGTGCCATAACTTCTAGTACAAATTTTCATGATTTCTGTATACTGTCAAACAGAGTTATCTCTCTTATGAGTAAGTGGTTTGCTGCTAACAAGCTAGCCCTGAATCTAGACGAAACAAACACAATAAAATTCATAACAAGTAATTCAATGCAACATCCATTAAGCCTCGGATATGATGAAAAGTATATAGAAGAGTCAGTAAACACAATTTCTTGGTTTACAAACTGGTAACCACTTAACCTGAAAACAATCAAACTGATAAGCTGGTTCCTAAATTAAATGGAGAATGTTATGCAGTTAGATCTATGTTACATATCAGGAACACTTGACACTACTGTTGTGGCAGTGGTGGTGGCAGCAGTTGTGGTTGTAGTATTAGTGGTAGTGGCACTGGCTGTAGCAATAGTAGTAGCAGCAGAAATTATAGTAGCAGTCATCATAGCACTAGTAATAATGTCATTTCCTTAGAAAATGTTATTAAAATACTGATTTTCTTCACATTGCAACTGCCAGACAACATCACTTCAACTTCTGCACCACTGCCCCTTTCCTTGATGTCTAACATATCATACATAATGTGTAGGTATAGTCATACCTATCTCCAATGGTTCATTAGTTATTAGCATCAGGGTGAAAGCTAAATACAGTGCATGCAACAAACATTTGTTTTACCTTCTGTAAAGAGAAATTACCTTAACAAAATGGGCATATTTTTTGAAGATCTATTACCACACATCACTTTGAGGCCCTTAGATTAAGTGATTCTAGTATCATTTTAACTGCACACATTCATACAATTGCAGGAATTTAAAGAGTATAGAGCTGGCATGGCATCCAATTGCACAATTTTCACACCAAATTTGATAAAAATCAGTCAACTGATCAAATGGTGAAAGAACACATTCACAACATGGTACTGTCATGGGCTACTTTCCTCCCACAGCATGGAAATGGGCCAAAAAAATTGGGTATCTTTATGTAAAATATAAATTCTAATGAACCACAGTCATATATCAAAATGAAATTCACATAGCTGCAGACTTTTTTCAAATCTACTGAGTGCTTTGAAATGTGAAATATGACATACATAAACAGATACAACTTCTTCCTCATTATGCATCAGTTCCTGCACTAAATGAAAAGAATCTCCTAACAAATTAGAAATTTTTTTTACCTAAATTCTAATAATAAATGTGCAAAGTAGTTTTGCAAAATAACTACTGACATGAGCAATCGCTGATTATAATTTAATTATTCTAATTGCTGTTTCATAATGACAGAAACATGAAATGTGGCACACTTACTGGGTAATGTCTACAGTTGTGGGAGTTTCTCTATTAACTCTCCCTCTGGATCTTCCAAAGCATCGTGGCTTTTCTCCCTCCATTACTCTGTTATTAGAGCAAAGTATCATAAGTAAACTGAAGGCATGTGTTGAGCTGTAATATCTGTTTACAGTGTATGTGTGTATATACATAAGCAGTGACCTAGAAGCCACAGATATTATGAATTCAATCAAGAATTTAAACCTGAACAATTTACGAGCCTTATTCAAGTTGCTAATATTTGGTACTAAATCTGAAAATAAACAGATTCTCACTACACACAACTGCTGTCATGCGAATGTTTGGTTCATAAACACCCTGAAATGAAAACATTCTCTATCTAAGGAACCACATCAAATTTATCTCAAGATTTCCTTATGAATCTAGAGGAATTTACACCACGCACTTGACGACATAACTCCAGGAACAATAAAGCACATATACAATATGTCATTTTCATTGAGACCCACATTAGATTTTATTCTTAACATATCAGGAAACATTGACAATTTTAATTATATGTGTGAACCATGTCCGATCAGTTGATGACTAAAATATGGTCTATGTGCTGGGAGATTAATTCCAAGGTGGGATATTGTGGAATTTAATTTTCTCTGCTATAACCAGAATTTATCTGTTCTCTCTCCATCTACTATCTAACTATATCATGAACTGGTTGCTGGTGCTCCTGTCCCTCGTGCCTTTACAAAAAAAAGTGTTGTAGACGATTAAGTCAAATTAATTTCAATCTTCATGTTTCCATAATAGCTGCAAAGAAAATTCGACATTGAACAACTGAGAATACTGTAATGACAAAACGCACAGACCACCTCTCAATATTTTTACACTTTCTTTTTATTGTTAGTGCTCGAAATTAAGCCATTGATATGATTTAATCTTAACGAATACCTTCCTCTTCAGTTTTCTCGCAAAAATGTGGAAGTCGAATAATTTATTCTTTCGTTGAAGCAATCTTATGACTTTATGACCATGGTATAGCACGTACACATATGCAATACAATCTCAATTGTGGGCATCCTAAAGATCTAAAGATGGGCATGGATCACTAAAAATTTCACGTAACGACATGCAGTACAACGCCGCACTGGTAATTATGCATATGAAGACCATCTGTATGCCGACACCCCTTTCCAGTACAATTATGCATTGCAGATGCATCCAGTTATCCCATCCCTTGGCTTCATATTTTTTGTTACACAATAATATCTTGAATTTGAGGTTCCCATAGATATGGCTATAAAGAATTCAGCCACCTGGGATAAAACGCCATGTAGTCTAATGATAGTCAATCGACCTCTGTCGCCT